ACTGCCACACTCGCCCGTACCTTGATCCCCCATCTCCTGTGGTCTACGTGCACGAAGCTCGACGGGGATCATTGCTATTATCCCTCCGAAGGCGCGTACCTGGTCATCGACGTCACTGATCTCTCCTTTTGGGATCCTCTCATCCGGCGAGTGAACGCAGGAGAAACCAGCGACGAAGCCGAAGAGGAGGAAGAGGAAGCAGTCGAGGAGGAGATCGAGGAGGACGATCATCTTCAGTACACGGAAGGAGAGGAAACGCCAGAGAGGAAGAATCGGATGCTGAATCGGACGATCCCGATTATCACGAATCGGAGGACGCCGAGTCGGAAGAGGCCAGCTCGGACGGGGGGGAGTCGGAGGAAGAAGGCGGATCGGGCGAGTCGAGTGGTCCTGACGAACTGAGCAGGGAAGAGAAAAGAGGTCGTGGCACAGAGAAGACGGGCAGCGGCAGAAGGCAAGCGGCCAATCGAGGAATCAGAAGGGCCACCGCCGCAACTTCTACAGGGCGATCCGACGCTCAATCCGAAACTGCCACAAGAAGAGGCCGAGAGAAATGGAGGCGCCTCGGCAGAGGGATTGGGAAGCCGGCGCCGTCGAAGAAGTGAATCCCCGGCCCAATCCTCTCCCCGGCCCAGCCTTCGCCTACGTCGAGATGCGGGCGCTCGGGCTTCGCCCCCGGTCATTATCCCGCTGTCCCTGTGACTTCCTCACTCTTCAACAGCTCATAGGCCGACCCCCATTCCCTGACGGATGGCACCCCTTCCCGCCTTCCCTCTTCCACCATCTCTACTCCACACGCCTCTTGATCACTATCTTCCCACACGCTACTACTCACTCGCTCACCACCTTATTCCCCCTCCACGTCCTTCTCTTTAGCGTAGATTGGCAGGAATTCAATTATATAGAGTTGTATTGTATCATCGCGGGCACGATCCCAACGTGCGAAGAGTATGTCGATTTCCACACTGCTATCCACCGTACCCGATGCACGCTTTATCCCGATTACCTCGCCTCCCTTCCCCACAAACGTCGACACCGGCGTTTTCCCCGCATCCACCGCACGATTCATTACACCCAACTCCCCACTGGCGATCGAGAAATAGGTCGCTTCATGCCTCCCCTTCCCCAAGTCCATCCACCACCTCCTCCGCCCGTAATCAGACTGCCTTTCCCGTGTGACGTTTAGAATGCAGCGCACAAATGCCACGTTGGATGACTTCCACACTCGGATCTTACGGTAAGTGGCACGTGTAAGCTCCGCGTCGATCCTCGGATTGTCGGTCGACACTTGATGAGAGAGCAAGAGCTTGCTCAAGATTGGAACCCCCTGGGCGTCACATATGCGACGAGCTATTTTCTATAATCGCACGACTTTTCACGCGAGGCGGCTTCGAGGGTTGGGAACTGGTTGGTCGGGTGGAAGATAGGGGTTGGGCGAACAAGTTGCATGGATACCCTTGCTTCTTTCTTCTGTTTTTGTTGTCGGGACCAGGGCCGGGAAAGTCCCGCGACAACGATTGAGTGACCGCTCCTTAGTGAGCGCGATAAATAACGAATGTCATAACTTCTTTCTTGTTCTGCAGTGGGAGATGAGAATTTTGGCGAAATTAGCGAGCGGGAATGTCGTTTCAAATTTACAACAGATGACGGGCTCTTGAAATTGATTTTTTTAAATCTTTTCAAAATTTCTTTTTGCAAATAGGATTTAGACTAGGAATTTAGGTGCTCTGAAATCTTGTTGCGCCTCGCTTCTTGCTCGCGCACCTCTCACCGCATTGGGAACACGGGCTCTGACTGTATCGCGCCCTTAATCCTGCATGTAACTGTATTTTTTGGCAGGCGCGATTGTAACTGTACTCCTTCTTTATTCTCTCGTGTTTCCCCGCCTTCTTCCCCTTTGTCGTGCATACCTCATCCTCCACTCTAATTGGCCTGAGCGACTGCATGACCGGATCGATGTGTGGAGTGTGGCTGCGTCCCCCACGCCGCGGCTTGGCCATGCATGCGTAGGCACTTCCTTCTCTTCCCCTTCCCCTCACTTAGGCATAATCCCGGGTTCATCGCGCAAGCATGCACGCTATAAATTTTGAAAGCGCGATTAGTTTGCTCTCTCCGAATTTGGAAGTTAGCGCGGTCAGTGAGGATCGGCTAACAAGCAAGTGAGGAGATGAGCAGAAGTGAGTCGGGCGACCCGACGAGCTGGTGTCGGGTAGGCGGGGTTGACGTGCGGGCTACGACGGACTGTGACACACGGGCGAACATGGTTTGTGTACTCGGACGAAGCGGGGTGACGACTCAGTGTTGGTGCGAGGCGTCGGACTGCCCGCATTGGAGGTGATGTAGCGTGGAGAGGAAGAGATAGAGAGAGATGTGTGTGTGGGATGATGCTTTTCTCTAACCCTCTATATAAATTTTGATTTCAACCTTGATCCATCTTGTTACGACCATTTTTTATCTTCTTGCGTATCATTTTTAGATTTTTTGCTTATGGTGTGTGTGGAATGAACTCGCGCGCTTCCCTCGCCCGTCCTCGCGCAATCTTTGGATGACTATTTTAACTCAAATTTCGTCACTTTCTAGTCTCATTCTGCGCTCGGGTTGGATGCGCTCCTCATGCATATTACAGAATTGCCAACGTTCGGATCTTCTGTGTGGGATGGTGTCCTTCTTTTTCTCGCTTATGTAGTTTTGATAAGTGACGTCGGTCCTCTCTTACTCATGACTACCCCTGGTTCGTGTTTTTTTTAGTGATCGGTTTGATTTTTCCCCTCACTCCTGTTTCATTGTAGTATGATGAGATCTGGCATAACGATTGTCTGCGCGTGACCCCGGTGAGCTTGGGTTATGATGATGTATGCTTCCTTGGTGACATGGCTTGATGCGCAAACCTTTGTCGATCTCTTGTTTATGCTCTTCCGGAGATTCGCACGACCCTTGAGTTTAATTGATGCACGAGTTCGATTGATACCTGAGTATGCATGTCAGTCTCCCGTTCCCTTTTGGACAGAAAGGAGAATCTAACGAACACTCGACGGTCCCGGCTGATGCTCTGGTGGGTACCGAGTGGATGGCGGATTTAAATGTGTGATTGTCCGCAGATTGCCTTCCTAGTGTCTGTTTCTTGACACGCACACGGGCTAGCATGACGACGGATCAGACGATCTCCCGACCAAAGGGATAGCCAGTCGATCCGATCCAACTGATCGCAAACGTGGTCTTGTGTGCATGCATGCAGGATCGATCAAAACGGACTTCGCCTACACGCGCGTCTACAAGACCCGCGCTCGAGTCCATGTCTAAACTCGTAGAATTCCGATAGCATGGATGATGGGACTCCCTTCCACGTCATGGATCGGGAAAGCCTGAGACACCGACGGTTCCGAAAATACTGGGAGTGGAAAAACGCATGTCTTCTCGCACAACCCCGCCCCAACCCTCCAAAATTCCCCTTTCGGACGGGAAACGAATGTGTCTGTGAGTGGGACATTGAATGGGCCTTAAGTGAGATCCCTTTTCCCTCCCACTTCCACAACTCACATGTAAGCCACGTCATCGCCGAACCCGGTGTCGTCATCATTGAGACAGACTTCGCTCCCTACCGCCTCGTGTTGCCTTTTCACTGCCTGACGGCGGCCCCGTGGCACGAGTTCGCCCCCTACTGGCGTCGAACCCCGTGCTCCGAGTGCCAGCAGGACAGCGAGTACCGAGCCGCGGGGTTCGTTCGACGAACCCGGACTGAGGCCGAACAACGAGCACACAGCCTGCGTCTGAGGCCCGCCTCGTCCGACTCGGAGGTTTGTCACGAGCGACGCTGGCGATTGGCTAGGCAACGCAACACATATAGCGTTCCACCGGTTCACCAAATCCGAGCCCGGCCTTAACAACGGAATTCGTGGGGATGGCGATGACATCCCCCAAGGCATCAAAGCCGGACGTGGTTCGCGCTTGCTATCTTGCATAACTGCCCCTAAGGCTTGCCACAGGAGATTTCAGTTGTGACCTGGAACTCCACCCCTACGATCCTAAAATCCTTGGCACACCCCTTTTTCGCACTTTCGGGTCCCCATCCCACTCCGATCAGGAAGTCGCGCTGGGCGTGAGGTTGGGCATCACAGTCCGGTTTCGACAAGTCCTGAACTTTCAGGAGGCCGAGCCCAACGTTGATCAATCTGATCAGAGGCCGTTGTTTCGTTTCAGCCTCCTGAAAGGTCAGAGGCCGAGTATTTTTGAACCGACAAAGTGAGTGGTGGTTTAAAAAAAAAAAAAAAAAAAAAAAAAAAGTATTTCACACCCATGATCTGGGTAAAACACACCATGTTGCTTTAAGCCACCAGTACATGCCCCCAGCCAAACTTGAGAATCATGATTGAGCCTCTCCTAAAATTTCGGAGGCTCGCTCTTTAGAAAAGCTTGGTGCGCAGGGTGGTTATAGGTTTGTGGATTTAGGGGCTCGTTCGACACTCCTCGGGGCGTCCTCGGGCCCCGAGGATGATTCCTTGGTGTCGCCCGAGGAAATTCCCGCCTTCGTTCCATTCATCCTTGGAGACGTCCCCCAAGAACTATTCCTCGGGGCTCCCGCGGCCAGATTTATATGTGTACAACCGAACGCGGGGGTGGGGCCGACGGTGGTCCATGGAGATGTGTCTGTGCGGACGACGTTGGTCCACCTTTATTGGGCGTCGCGATTTTGAAAGACGGCGACTTTCGAAAACGAAGGGGCCATTGGAAAAGGCGCGCAGCCCCTCGGTTCGAAATTTGAAATTCGAATTTTCGCAATGCGAGTGGTGGTGCATACAGGAGGTCGTTTTTTTGAATTTGACGGAAGCAGCGTCCAGCGTGCGGGGGCGTTCGCTTAAGTGACGACGTTGGTCAACGGTCTCCATGTCGACGGGGTACGCACCTGTGCGCCTTTGAAGAAGCTAAGACGCCATCGACTTGTCGCCATCGTCGCAGGCTGACGTCCGTCGTCGTCGCGTGGCGTTCAGGGTTTTCTGGCGAGGCGACGCTGTCTTCTTCCGCGTGGCGGTGTTCGTGGAGTGTTGTTGTGATATTGACGTCCATGTCCACTGCAGTGGCGTCAGGGATGGATATCGACAGCGAGGATGGTCGTGATGTATTGACCATGGCGGAGAGGACGGTCCTCGCTGCGGCCATCAATGTCGTCCTCTTCCATTGCCAAATGGAGAGCAGCGAGGGGAAGTTGAAAGCAGTTGTTCGTGCACACCGCAAGCTGACGGCGCTGCCGACGACTGGCGATGGCTTCGACATTGGTGCCATTTCGGACGCCATCCTACAGGTGTGCTACGCGATGGGGTGCGGTGCATTTCCAAGGGCGACTCCAAGGTTGTGGATGAAGCGATGGACGGGGGGTACGTGGGAGGATCTGTGGCAATGTGATGACGCCACAGTAGATTACTTCAAGGAGAAGCTGCGAATGTCGCCACGTGTTTTCTGCGAGATCGTGGAAACTCTTTTTCCATACCTGCAACGCCCTGTGACGTTCTACAGGGTGTCGTTGCAGCCAGACCAAATTGTCGCGTTCGCTCCGTATAGGTGGGCATCGGGGGAGACACACGACAGCGGGACGTGCAACTTCGACATTGGCAGGTCTTCTGGCTTGACGGCGGTGCGGGACGTGACTGCTGCGTTGCTGAGCGAGTACCCCGACAAGATATCATGGCCCACTGCTTTGCAAAAGGCGGTCGTCTTGCGCGCGTTCGCCGACAAGGGTTTTTTGAACTGCACCCATTGGGGCCGACCTGATGCGCCCTTGGAAAGAGACGGCGCCCGTGCTGCCTGCGTCGACGGGTTCAGGCTCGCACCCGTCACCTCCCGCGCCAACGCTCTCGTCTTCGATGGTCGGTCCACAACCGTTAATTGCCCACCGTCGCCGTCGGGGTGGGGGCTCACGAGGAGCGTGCGCGATGGAGTTGTCGACCGCCCGGTGGACAGACCGAAAGACAGGTTGACACTGCCGTCTCCTTCATTGCCGCTCAACCCCGAACGAAGGAGGCCAGTGAACGACTGCTCGCACAAGCCACTGTCGGTCCCGCCTAGCTCCGTAGCTGCCCACTCTTGCGTCGATCCGCTTCCCAATGACACAGTGCGTGTCCGTCCCTCCTCCTCCTCCTAGTCTGACGTGTCGGGGAGGTGTTGGAAGTGCGGTGGCAATGCCGCATACCCAATCCTCTGGGACGCCCTCGAAACCGTCGATGGGCTTTCCCGGCCACGCCGGCCGCCGACCTGCTGCGCTCTGGACCTGGGGATCGACTGTCGTGCCACCGTCCTGGTGTCCTTCATCGAAGACCTTCTTCTGCGTCGACGCTGCCGTATGTTCCCAAGGATATACACGTGGAAGACACTCAAGACAACCAGCAACAGGACAACCAGGACCAGCAGCGGCAGCCTGCGAAACACGTCGGCCATGAAACAGAAGACGAGGACGGCAGCAGGCAGAACACAACGGGGGGCGACAAGATAACGGCGAAGTGCAGCACTGCAAACGACCGTCAGGAACATGTCGACAAACGGAAGGTGTCGTACTTGCTCACGGACGACAGTGGGTGTACGGGAGAGGTCGAGGCGGCTGGAATATTCGTATCTGCTGACCGTTCGGCGAATTCCCGCTGCGTGCCAAGCGCGACGACGAAAGACACCACCTTTTGGAAGTCGGGGATGCCGGTAGGCCGCAAACGATAACCGTTGGCGTCGAATTCCGTGAAGGCGAACGCTGGCGACCCAACATGTCCATGGAGACACAGGTAGGACCACCGATGGACCAGACGGGATCGAAAAATGTCGTCGAGGGAGCTGCCGTCGACGCCCCGATTCTTCCGGATGCTCGACCTCCAAGGGAAATGGCTGTAGCCCGAGGATTCCCCGAGGAATCCCCGAGGAAATGTTTTCACTTTTTTTTTTTTTCAAATCTTCGCCGAGAATGAGTGGAACGACGAATTCCTTGGGGAATTTCGGTGCCCGAGGAGTGTCGAACGAGCCCCTTAGGCTTGGATGTACTGGCGGTTTAAACCGGTACTACACGGCCCCAGCCTTGCAGTCCGAAAGTTGTCCCCTAAAGAGAATGAGGCCGAAATGTCAAACGTAGGGCCTACCGTTGATAAATAGTATCGGCGGTCCATATTTCGTTTCACGCTTCCGAGATTCGCGGTGTCAGGCCCGCGGCCCAGGTTGCCGTGTACTGGTGGTTTAAACCACCAGTACTTGCCGTGGCTATCGATGTCGAGCCTGAAAACGGGCTGTGCCCCATTTCGTGCCGACCCACCAGCGCAACAAAAAGAAATTGTTTTGGCTGGCGGCGCCAGCCTTTGAAGGCCGGTGCCCTGAGCCTCCGGAAGTTGCGGGGCGACAACGCCCTATGGACCAAGTACATTCCCGAGCATAGCAACAAAATGCTGGGCAAGTTGCAGAGTCCAGATTAACCATTGCGACTGGCTATGGGGTGTACCTGGCCTCTCTGTGATGGTCCCACCCAACCGCTTGGAGCTGTTGCTACCATGGGAATGGTAGCGGTGTACCAACCAAAACCATCATAGGGTAGCTATGG